CTCTTTTCAAACCCAAACCAAGGACCTGGACTCAGGTGGAGGAGGGTAGCAAAATCCACCCCGTCCTGTTTAGGGACCAGGAGAAGGATTGAGGTGAGAATTAGGTGACATTGTTCACATAGGGTGCTGATGACATTGCCTATGTAGGCTATTTATAACAGTTTACAACGGAAGGTGCTTTTGCAGGAATAGAGGCAACACTTTAAAGATATTAGTTTCTAATAGATGGTTCATTGTCACCACAATCCAGAGAGGTAAGTGTTGTTATCCCCATTTTGCATGTAGGAAAACGGAAGCTCAGAGAAGCGAAAAGACTTGCCCAGTCTCCTGTAGGAAGACGTCAAATGTCCTGATGGGAGGTATTACATTTGCTAATCCTGATTTTGCCAAGGGCACTCCTGTCTGGACTCTCTTTCCTGCTACAGCAAGGCGTTGTTGGAAGAGAGTTTTCTCTTCCAAAGTAATTTCATTTTTATCTTCTTTGAAGTCACGCAAGCCCTGGGTTGCAATAATGGTTCTGCAGCTTCCTCAGGCAAGTTACTCAGGATAATATTTGATCATTTGGTTGATTTATGCCTTGCCTTCCTCCATAAGATATTTGAAATGGCATCCAGTAGAATAACAACTGGACAACTCAGCTAGTCCATACTGTAATGATAGCTAATATTTATTTGTTGCTTTCGGCATGCCAGGGATGATTCTGAGCCTTTTATTTTTTTTTACATGCAGTATTTGCTTCATTTTCACAAACATAAGAAGTGAAGTCTGTTATCATTCCCCACTTTACAGACGAGAAAACTGAGACTGAAGAGTGGCTGAATCACTTATCCAGGGTTACCCCGGTAATAAGGGGCAGTGCCAAGATGGGCACCATGGCAGTCTGGATCCAGAGTCCTTGTGCTTCACTGCTGAGTTTAATGCCTCTTATTCCAGTTTTGATTTTCTGAGCATCTAATCAGAATTTAGGAGCAAAACTGAATAGTAAGTAAGCGTTTTGGGTTCTGGAGTCCGAGTGCTAGAGCTTGAAATGAAGCTCCTATAAGCTTGTTTTCTTAACTATAAAATAGGTATAATAATATAACATTCTTCAGGGTTCCCGAAAGAGAAATGCAGATAAAACAGTACTTGTCACGTAAATGCTCGACAGCCCGACCAGCGTGGCTCAGAGGTTGAGCATTGACCTATGAACCAGGAGGTCACAGTTCGATTCCTGGTCAGGGCACATGCCTGGGTTGCGGGCTCTATCCCCAGTGTGGGGCATGCAGGAGGCAACCGGTCAATGATTCTCTCTCATCATTGATGTTTCTATCTCTTTCTCCCTCTCCCTGCCTCTCTGAAATCAATTAAAATATATTTAAAAATAAATAAATAAATGATCCACAAACGGTAGTTATTACTATTACCATTCAGAGGGTGAATGCTTCCCATTCCTTCTCATAGAAGTGCCACAGCTTGTTTGTCCAGCCCCTGGGTCTTTGCAGTCATCTCTCTTTTCATACTTCCTTTTCTCCCCTGAATCCACCCAAAGTTCATCTGCCTCTAGTTTTAGCTCAAGCCTCCTCCACACCTGTTGCCTGAGGAGTTTTGCAAAGCCAGTACCATCCTCCTGGTCTTCTCCTTTCCTGGAGTCCTTCTGCACTCACACATCTGGCAGACGTGCAGGTCTGTATAATGTTCAATGACCTCCCGCTTTCCCCAGCCACCCAGAAAGGGAGGAAGAGAAGGAGATAAAGGTCATCCTATCATTATTCTCATTTTGCAGATGAGAAGAGAAGCTTAGCCCATAAGTCGTGAGGCCAGGAGTCATATCCAGGTCTTCTGACAAATATTGTTGTTGTTTTTTTAATGTGATTGTGCACATCCGAGTGTGTGTATATGCAGAGAGTGGACATGGTCATGTATACAGCCTGGAATTCTAGTATAAGCTCTGATGTCAGATGAATCTGCTGTTGAGTTCTTAGATCTGGCCATTAGCCATGTGACACCATTTTGGACCTATCACGTGCTCTCTCTGAGCCTCAGTTTCTTCATCAGTAAAATCAGTACAATAAGATACACTATCTCATAAGGTTATTGTTAAAAGAAAATGAAACCATGATTATAAAATGCCAAGCCTGTCACAGATTAAAGTATCCAGGAGCAGTAACTGGGCTTATTATGTGCAAAATAGATTATCTGAGGGGGGCTAGGTTGTTTGTGATTATTTGGATGTTTGAGGGTGCATGTGTATGTGTGTGCACACAGGTGTGTAAATGCACACACCTCACCAGCTTTTGCGTTGCAATTGTGCTTTTCGTGTAAAAGATTAGGGTTTAGAGAGAAACTTTTAACTCTGAATTCCTGTCTGAGAGCAATAAATGACTGGAATGCAGGGGTACAGAGTGTGGGCGATGCCATCGGCTGGGGTTGGGGCTGTTTCTGTGTACCTTGGTGCCTGGAAAGGAACAGATATTTGTATCTTTCAGAGTTGTTGCTGTGCAGATACCCTTGTCTGCCCTTGTCCCTTAGGAAGTGCCTGTGTGTGTGCATGACTGAGACTGTGACTACGGGAATCCTGTGTCTGCGGAGGTGTGGCGCTGTTTCTGTCTGTAAGTGGTTATTTCGCCACCTGTAGGGATGTGTGTGCATGTCTGTGGGTGTCTGAGTAGAGGACAGGAGGTTTTACATGAGTTTGAAGCACTGTGGGAGTCTGTGCTCCCCTGAGTATGAATGTGTGTACAAGTGTAAGGACACTTGTGTGGGGTGTTTACATTTGTAAATGAGGGTAACTAAGGAGGTAGCGGTATGAGTGATGGCACCGAGGTGCGGCGTCCTCACGTCCATAGGGCTGGGTCTAAGTCTGAGTGTGCACGTTTGTTTTTAGAAGAGTCTGTATACTTACACGTGTCTCTCTGGGGTCAGTTTGTGTGTGGAGAAGGGGGCTGAGGCTGTGAGTGTTCACCTGTGTGTGTATGTTGTAGGGTGTTCGTTGTGTGAGGTTCTGTCTTTGAGAGTCGGTGTCTGTGTGTCCTCTCTCAATGCCCGGGCCCCCCTGCCTTTCCCTCCTCTCCATCAGCAGAACCATAGAGAAGGCGAGAGGGGCATTAGGCTGGATGGCTCAGCACCTCCCCAAGGGAAGGGACAAGTCCCAAGCAATCCCTCCCCGGAGAATTCAGGGGAACACCTCCCCTCCAAGAACCCTTTCCCCACCCGGCCAAATCCCGGTCAGTAGTTAGGAGCGAGTGCACTCTCTGGCAGTTATGGAGCCGAGGTGTCTGTGCAGGTGTGTGGGGGCAGTGGATGCCTGTACTCCTGTAAATGAGGTGAAGGGCGGTCACTTGCCTCCGCATGCACACAGAGGTACCAGGCGTGGGACTGCAGCAACAGAGCATCGGGTGTGACTACATGGTGTGTCCCTGGGAGGGGAGCTGTGCCTGAGGGCGGCGGGCGCCCTGTGAGGGAGGGGCAGTGTGAGGGGGCTGTGTGGCTGTGGGCCTGCTAGCGCCTTTGTATGTCCGCGTGTTTCAGACTCTGTCCGCAGCTCTGAGTTTCTGTGTGTCTATATGACTGTGTGTGTGTGTCTCTGGGTCGCTGCTTCGCTGTGTGTGTCTCGCTCTCCCTTGGCGGGGAGGGGATTGGTCACGCATGACTCATCCTGAACCGAGCGGGGCTCCAGCGGCAGGGCGGCCGACGCCGCAGCTGGAGGAGGGGGAGGAGGAGGAGGAGGAGGAGGAGCAGTATGATGAGGAGGAGGACTACCAGAAGGGGGAGAAAGAGGAGGAGGATGAGGAGGGGGCGGGGGCCTCTCTAAGTTTGTCGGGACCTTCTTCCGAGGCAGCGGCGGCGGCAACCAAGGAGGCCGGGGCCGCGCACGGGCCGGGGGCGGGGGCTGGGGCCGGGCCCGCAGCGGCGGAGCGGGCGCCTCGGCTCTCCTCCTGCTCCTGCTGCAGCCTCTGCTCGCTCTGTGGCCGGGGCCCCTCTCCCCG